GTGACACTTATTAAGATTCTTCCAAATCGTCACATACGGTTAAAGAAGAATCTAAATGGACTGAATCTATTTCTGTCAGAAATAATTCCATTATTTTCAATATCAAGGAAAGGATTAATGTACTATATAATATTGCGATTGATGAACAAATTATTTTTTATAAAGATGTCATTTTGGATAATAGTAAAAGGGTTAGAGACTTAACAATTGGCCCTAATGATACCTTTTATATGATAAGAAGGGCTAAAGTTCCTCGAGAAACTTCTCAAGAAACCTCAAAAGAACTTCATACATGCTCAAATGAGGGTACAGTAAAAGTTATCTTACCAAACCGTGAGCTTGAAATAAGTGTATCTTCAAATGACACTGTTGCTGTTCTGGAACAAAAGATTTTTGAAAAGGCAGGCATGGATATGTCAAGGAAGACAATAACAGATGGTAAAGCTTGTGGTTACGATAAAATATATTTAAAAATTGTTTTTAGAAATAAAGTTATAAGCGGTTCTAATCGTACTCTTATTTCTTGGGGTATTTATCCTCGTGGTCATGATGCAAACTATTCTGTTTTTAATATCTTATTTGGTATGATAAAACTTGGTGGGGGTTAAGATTGTGTTTTAATTTATTTATTCATATTATTTGTAAATGTACTTTATATAATTATTTACATTTTTAAATCATATGAGTCTCGGAAGTTTTTATATATTTTATTGCAATTGTTAGTTATTATTATTATTATTATTATTTCCTATGTATAGGAGGCATTTAAAGCAGAGATAACTCATATAAACCAAATATTTTACTGAATTAACTTTAAGATTAAGGTTAGGGTCAAGCGTGTTTGCATAGTTAAATTCCTTTCTAAATCAAGACATCAAAGCAGGTTTAGACTGCTATTTCCTTTAATATTATTCAAATTATTCATAATTTGATTGTATATGATTTATCTCTATTTTAAAAGGCTCCTAGATAGAAATTAATTCTTTAAATTCTATTCTGATAAACTCAATAACATTTATCTAAATCACTATCCCGTAATTTAAACGAATGTTATTTTTCTTTAGAGTTCAATGTAAAAATGAAAACTTTTACCTCAATAAAGAATAGAATTCATATCAAGGCCGCTTAATGTTAATTAGTTAGTTAATGTCAATATTTTTGGTTTGAGCTAGATGTTTGACGAATCTATTTTTGCAATAACAAATGGCCTCGTCAATGTTTTCGCCTAACGAAATTTTGGCGATTGAAGAACTACTGACAATTAATGAAATTACTGACGATTGACAAAACTCTTGGCGAAATTATTGCAGTTTGCAAAAAGATATGGCCTCATGATTTCTGCGATGATGTTTAGAGAAATCTCTGAAATTTTAGATTGTCTGATGTTTTATATTTTCTAACGGTTACGTTTATATTTCTTTGAGATTGATAAAATTCTTAAAATCGATGGCTTCTCCGATCCCATACGACAATGTGATCTACAGAGACCACATCATTTTTCAAAGCGCTAATTTGACTAATAAAAAATTTAAAATTCAGAATATACAGGGGGATCAACTGCATTTTTATACTGTTATTTCATAATCAGTTCATCATCATGGTTTATCGGTTCATATGAATCATAGAGAAAAAATCTACAAGAATTGTAGTATTACTCTATTATCCCTAATAAGATACTATACTAGTAGTTTGATAATGTAATATCAAATTAGATTTAGACAAATTAGTTTGTTTATTCAAAAAAGTGCAGATTTCATTATCATCTGTTGATCACAGAAATTTGAAAGCACTAATTTTCAAAGCGAGCAAGACAGGCTTTATTGCATCTTTATTTGGAGTGCACCAAACCATTAAAACTAGAATAAATATTATTTGTTATAACTTCAAAAGTAAATAATCTATGCTACTAGGCAAAAAAATGCGCGGCAGATCACGAGTTTTATTGGCTAATGGTCGAGAAACTTCAAAATTTTGGCCCGCATTATATAATTGTTTACTAATTTCCGACCGGAATTACCTTTTAATTTTTTAATTATCCCTTAAACCGTCA